TGAATTTGAAACGTAGAACTTGATTTTTCGTCAATATCTAAGTTTTACGCATCATCTAACTGTGCTTTACAATTCCATCTTAATAAGTCTTCCAAAAGAATTAATGTTTTGGTCGCTCTACTTACAATACATATATTTTTCTTGCATTTTCTATCTAGTTGCGATACTTTTCCTATATCTGACCTTTACTTTCTACCGAAGAAAAACGATCTGTGGGATCTCCTTTATTATATCTGTTTGTTTTGAGCAAGAGTTCTTGAACTTGGTGGTGCGTGGGTCCAAAAATTACAATAATCAAAGCTTTTTGAATTTTGTACTATCCATACCCTGAAGTTTGATACAACAATATGCCTCAACTATGTAAAGGAGAAAACTAGTGCAAAAGATTCTATAGGTTATAGAAGGCACGCACATTGACAATAACTAATATTAATGAAAAAGTATATAAAAATTACATTTGTTTGGCAAATTAAAGGAATTTTGATGAGACATTTGTGATTATTGATCCACGCCCATACTAAAGCTTACTTTTTAAGCAATCAACTCTAGATCACTTCTGGAAACAATTTCGGCACCTATTAATGAGCTGAGTAGCTTAACTTTAGCGCTCCAAACAATTCGTTTTCTATAATTTACTTTGATTGGTAAAGATGCGGGCATCCGAGCCCCAAACCTGTCCCCCACATTATCTGTTCATTATAAATCAATCAGATTATAATTAACAAGAAGCAGAACAACGAACTGTCTTCAGTACTATTGCTGGATATAAAATAGCCAATGTTATGCAGGTGTCTGCGTTTTTTATTAGGGTTAAAACGGTTTATGGGTGTTTGAAAATCGTTTTCTTAAAGAGTTTTTTACAATGACAAAACTCGTCGAGGATGGTGCCGGCGGTTCCCACGGATGGGTCCCTCCACCGGAAATGTTGTGTTACTACCTAATGAAAATGAACCATCTGCTCCAATACACAAGGAGTTGTAAATTATCATCAAGGCTGCCCACTTTAGAGTGTGAAATTGGGCGCTCACCTGCACTTGGGTGTTTTGATTTATCCATTGATTTTCATGCAGAACTTTCTTCAAGTCTGCCAAAATGCCCAGAACGGGACTTGAAATATTTATGAGACACTGATAGTTTCGATTCATTTCAGTGCCGAAGATTAAGCACAAGGAAGTGGGTAAAATGAATGAAATGCATCAAAAGGAGAAGGCAGGTGAGCAAAATTGCACAACACACACTTGCAAAATCGAAGAAATAGAGAAAGCCTGATGCTTCAAATATTAATAAGCTCAAATGATGATGATTGTAGGCTCATGCCTACAATGTTTGCTTTGCAGTTAGTTTGAATCCTGTAAACACTAAAAAAAAAACGTTTCCTCCTCTTGATTTCGAAGCGAAATAATAAATATAAGCATCAAGTTGAATGAATTGATTGGTTTTTCCTTTTCCGAAAACTTAACTGTAATAATGGTTAAAAAGCTCTTCATCTTTCCTCAATATGTGAGTATAGGAATTTTCGCTGTCGATTACAATTCCTACTCATGAGCAGAAACAGCAAGTGAAACGAAGTAAAGATGAACCTACTGCGTACTTTAATCAGGCGAAATTATTTTTCAAATACTTTCGCAATCTTATCATGTTTACCTTCTGGTTACATTCTACGTATTACGATCTTGGAACCGCCGAATACAAAAATGGTCTTTACATTAATATAAATACTGTTCTCTTGCAGCATAATGTACCTAATAAATATAGCATTTCAATAACAGAATGAACAACGTATATACTGAATAATTACGTATATTTAGCAAGTACAAAGTCAGCAAGCAAAACGAAACCCTGCTTTCGTTTTAATCAATGGTGCACCAGCTAAGCGCTGATTCCACAATAAAAATTGATATTCATTTATTCGCCACTATACAATTAAAATGAAGACAGCGAACCTAAGCATTTTGTAAATCATCGGCGAAAAGGAAATGAGATACGAAAGGAAAAATAAATCTTGTATCACCGATCCACTGATTTAAAAATTAAAACAGCTCGGCGCCTTCTTATAAGATGAATGGTACTACCTGCCATTAGATAAGGCATTTCCGGTGATTTTTAAGCTCTTCTTGTTCGGATTAATTGACTATCGGATTGGATGGTAAAAAATTGTGATTTGATAATGAGCTATGCTGGCATTAAATTAATGTCCTAAGGCGGATTTACAATTGAAAATTGGACAATTTGGTAGCAGATGCTAATTGGATGGGAGCATCATTCTAAAAAAACCACTCCAATTAAATCCTGCAAATAGTTGATAATTGAAAGCGAAATCAACAAAATTGTCTGATTATATGTTTTTTGTTCCCCTACACAAAATTATTCGCTTTCCTCAATAAACTCATCACTTTTGCATAAAAATTGCGCATAAAATATTCAAAAGCTATTTTTGCTGCATCAATCAATCAATCTCTCCTGATTATGTTTACCAGCTACATACTAAATTTCCAACAGTTTCAATTAGCTTTCCAAGTTCAACGGGTTTCTAGTGAGTTTTTCCAGTTGCCATTAGTGAAAAGTTGATGTATGTGCATGTACCTCTACGTGCGATGACCCAAATAGAAAACAGCAAACTAGCAAGCAGTATCTATATGAAACCATTTTAAATTCGCTGTGTATGTTTAATTTATCCGTATTAGACCGCTTTTAACATCCGGTATTCAATAGCCTCGCCTCGCTCGATTCTCAATGAAAGCAAAACGGAAATGGGTGGTCCAGAGGCGTCCCAGAGGAGGGGGCAGTCGTTTTGTTGCATTTTGGATTGGATTTAAATTGGATAACGACTGTATTCAAATCACATTTGGTAACGAGAAATGACCTAGAGAGTAATATTAAAAAAAATATATATTTCTGTACGTAGTAGGGATGGGAGAAAAACATCGATGTTTCGCAAACATCGATGTAATTCGTTCGATGTTCGAGATTTTTACCATCGATGTTGCAAATTTGGGACATCGATGTTAGATCCTGAAATGAAAACATCGGACATTTGATGTTGATACTAGATAGAAACATTTTCTGCGAACTCTTTGATAGTGCTGATACAAACAATACCGCGGCACACTCGAAAAAAGCCTCTTAAAAAAATATAAGTTGAATAAATTTAGTCGATTATTTAACAATGCATTGTTTTAAAATGTAATAGTAGTAGTAAAATAAAATTATTTAAGTTTAAGTTAATCAATTTAAAATTTGTATGCAACTGCAAATTATCAAAACATCGATGTTCTGCCTTCAATGTTTCCCTAACATCGATATTATCTTTCGATGTCAACATCGATGGCTACCATCGATGTTAGAGGATCGATATCCCATCCCTAGTACGTAGAAAAAATCTTAATAGATGCAAGAATACTTTCGTGTTTCGTCCAAGACGACCTAATCTTTCAAACGTTTGATACGTTTGTTTGAAATTTTTCGTCAAACTCTCTACAGTCTACATACATTATTGCGTAATATGTGAGTCAAATCTACAAAGATACTTCAAAAAACCAGTTGTAGTTCGCGTTAAATTATATTGATTTAAACTGATTTGAGTTTTTGAAGTGCACATTTAATTTTTTTTGTACGCAATTGTATTCTTAAACTCTTTGGTTTTATTTTTGCCAAATATCGCAAAGACTTATGGAAATATCGGGTAATTTTTTTAACTTTAATTTTTGTTTCAGAGTTTATCAATTACAATTTTAAGGAAATTAAATTATGGTCCTGAATTTTAAGTGAATGTTTTCGTGATCCAGGATAATTTGAGAAAAAATTGAAAGTTCAATTTCCAGAGTTTGCGAAGTGACTACTGATACTGATAAAATGATCAAATAATGTACCTAGAAAACCGCGTTACTAAGAAAAATATTGTCTCACAATATTTAATTTTTCAATGTTTGATTGCTTCAAAAGCATATTCATATAAAAACATTCCTTAATTTTTAAGAGCTGTATTTGCCAAATTTTACTCTTTTAATCAGCTGCTATGAACGTTTATTCGCGAAATATACAAATAAACTGTTGTGAATTTAGACTTTTAGATAGGTATCCGGAAAATCGTACTTTAAGGAAAATGTTGGTTAAATAGGTACCGTTCATGCCATATTTGTAAGGCATTTAGAAAATGTTTAAAAGTGAGGAGTTTTTTGGAAGCGATTGTAATTTTTTGCTTGATCGGAGGGTCAAACGTCGGATGAGGATAAGATTTTTTTTTACTCAAACTCGACTCGATATATAAAAAGGCTTACAAAGTAATCTACAAAACTAAATAGAAAAAAAAAATATTATCGCTTATATCAACTTATTACGAGCTTACATAAACTTTCGCATTAATTTCACGACGCAACTATTTTTTTATAATTACCGGTTTGAACGGGACAAAAGTGTAAAATTTTCAAATATCTTGGGTAAGACTCGGTGTCATAACGTCAATAAATGCGAAATTCGTCTTGACGAACCGGCGGAGAAATAACTAAATTCAAATTTTCAATTAAACACTCTTTGATCAAGTCAAGCCCAAAGACTTGTCATAGTTTAAAAAAATAATAAATTGAAAAATAATTAAATATTTATATAGTTAAACTGCATTTATTTGAACTAAATTGTTCAATCATTTTAGTCAGGAAGAGGCTTCTTCATATTCAGTCATTTGCCATAATGTCAGGGAACTTATTCCCGACACGACTGTGCGAGAATAGTTTCAATAAATATTCAAATAAATGCAACTTCCATATTCAAATTTTACTCAGTGGCACTCTAATATTGAAGTCTTCCAAAGCTTTGGCACACCAATATCTCAGCCAGGACAGCCGAGATATTTTACCTTAACACATTAACGAAAAGTTGAAAACACTGCTAAAAATAATTATACCTACCCATCTCGTTTTGCACATAATTTTCATCTAATCTGCATCTATTCTCTAATATAGAATCGTTCTTTGGAATTAGGTAAAAGAAGTAAAACGCGTGGCCAATTCTCTAAGTTCGCACATTTATATCATTAAGTACAAACAATGACGAGCGACTAAGTTACATGTTGTAAAAACACAAGTTGCAGTTCTACAATTGGTCATCATCAGTCTCGTGTTACGAAAATCTTAGCGTTACTGAGGGCCTTGGCATTTTTCGAAAATTTCGGTTTACTATTCTTCTTCTTCGACTTTCCGGCCCCCGTAGCACGTTCTTCGTTCAGTCTCACGTCCTTCAGTTTGTCGCAAAGCAAACCAGTGGTGTCTGGTAAGCTCTTCGATTTTTTAAGACTGGCCTTACCGTTGGAATTCCATGATATTGCTTGCTGGCGTTTTATTCTAAAATTGCAACAATTTCCATGCACTTGCATTTTTTGCAGTTCAAAACTATCTTATTCTGATTATTGACACACAATCTAAACAATTCCAGACGTAAAGGGAACCAATGTATACCTAAGCCAGTTTAGGAACTTTTTGAATGCCAATTTAAATTAAAAAAATTATCCCCTTTTTAAATACGTTTAATCAAATGACATGCATTAAGCAAAACAGGCAAGCAAAAATTATTTGAACAAACACACACTCAATAAATTACTCATGGCCAAATGGCCCTATTGTCAGTGTTATAATATTATACCCATTTTGCGGCTTGGTTCCAGTCTTATCAGGTTTTTCACCACTGTGTTTTGACTCTTTTTTAACAGTCTTTTCCGATTTTTTGTTGCTTTTCTTCTGCGCCTTTTTGCTCGTTCTGCAAAGATTTCCATTTCAGCTTGAATGTTTCTCTTAAAAAATAAGCAACTTTACGTACTTTTGAGGCGAAATTGATCTGCTGGGAAGGAAAACCTGGCTGCCTCCCCAAGAAATCGGTGAATCGCCTTGACCCACTCCAAACCAAAGTTTGTTTTTTAATGTATAAAGTTTGGCTTGAACCTGCGCAAGTTGTGCGGTTATCTCACTTTTCTTCTCTATCAAAATCCTAAACAAGCAAATAAGCGAATTTTATTGAGTTAAAATATGATAACTGCTTGAAATTACTTGGGTTGTGGCGTTTTTGATCGTTGGGTGTTGATTTGGCATGGAATTTTTTCACTAGCTATTAAGTCAAATACTGAGATGCTGGTTTGGGTGATCGATGCCTTTTTATAAGTAACTTCACTGTCTGAGTGCTCTTGGAGAGCCTAGAAAAACACATTTTCAATAATTTCATTCTTTTATTATATTATTAATAGTTGTGTGTATTTCATTAAATATTTGAACTGCTTCAACTGTAGTTAAGGAGGGCTTCTGAACAATGTATGGACTCAGCACGTTATATTTAATGCAATATGTACAGAAAACGTATTGTTTATCAGATTGGTTAAATTCGGTAAAACAAATGCTTAAAAAAAAAGAATTGTTTATTACGCTTATCGGAGTTTTGCATATTACCTGAGCACGTTTTCTAATAACTTTCTTCTTCTTTTTCCTTTTCTTGAAAATTTTTACTTGCGACTTCAAAACTTTTCCTTCCTCATCTGATTCCGATGAGCTAATATAATACTCTTTGTCTGAAAGCGACAGTTTAAGGGTTGCTTTGCATATCTGAAAATATCAAAAATCTTATTTTTTTTGAACCTATGTTTATATTGACTCTGTCCTGGTACTGCTGGTGCTTTACGTGCAAATGTGCATTTACTTGGTTTTTATTTCTGCTCTAATCTTATCATTTGCATGAAAATCAGCAATTTAATTATCGATTTAATAAAATATATGCGTCCAAACATTGCTCGATTTCTTAGTGATTTTTGTCTGTTTCAATAAACATTTTCTACATTACTATGAGCCAACAAAAATATTACATGCAATCAATTATAATGCAAAATATTTATTTTGTAAAAGTCAGTCAACGGGGTGCAAATAAAAAACAAAAATCCATGTATTCTTTGTATTTATTTTTAAATTAAACAACACACAATATGCTGAATAATGTGAGTAGATGGCTGGTTTGTTAGCGAAAGGTTCTTATTTTTTACTGTATTAGTTCCAGTTAGATTGTTGGAGAATAGTTACTCAATGAAGAGAATTTAGTAGGATGACACATATTTGGCTGGTCTTACGCAAACTTTGGCAAACTAAAATAGTGATATGATAAACTGATTCTTGGCATTAATCCCGTTGGATTAATTCTGAAATTGAAAACACTTATGCGAAAATTGCAGTCACGAGTACTTAATTCAATCTAAGAAATTTGTGCACACTACTTTAAAAGTATTAATGGTGCTTGCTACATTAATAAAACATAAAATTACTGTTCGGCGTGCAAGGCAAGCCATATTCAGGGTGCAATCTTCCCCCATTATGTGACACATTCGGCATTTCGACCACAGTTAAACTTTGAGCTTTTTGAGGCTTACTCCAAATTACTCTTTGTTCAACTATCTGCTCGGAATCGCACTCTGGATGATCAATTTCATATTGCGTGTAATCTCTAAGTTCTAAGTCGTATTTGGTATTCACCGGCAAAGGTTTCCGCTGCGCTCCTGGGCTACGACTAGTCAACATTCTCAACTTGTGCGCAGACGAAGACTTTGCTGGTCGCGATGCTCTTTTGCCGGCAGCTGGTGATGGTGGTGGCGGTTGAGGAATCACAATTTCTTCCTCTTCATCCCTTTCTTCTCGCCCCATTTCGTCACTGCTGCTCGATGTGTCTCCTTCATCGCTAAATAGAAAACTTTATAAATTTTTTGCATTCATTTGCTTCAAAGGCAATTGAAATTCACTCTTGGTTGTGCTAGTGATTTACTAAATCAACCCAAAAAAAAGTGTTGCCATAAAATGGGACTAATGCGGAGAGGAAAGAGACAATCAACATTGGTGCAAAGGTGCATTTGAAAACGGTCGGAGTATTGGCTAAGAATCAAATCTTCTCCATTTTGTATAAATAATTATTGATTCAGTTTGATTTAAAAATTGTTGTAAACATGCATATTTTCTGATCATTTTGCAAATTTAAATGCTCGTAATATGCGCTTAACAAAGTACTTATTGCCTGTTTGATTCTTATGATAATACTGCCGTAAAATTTTAGTTGGACTGATATTACATTGAAACTGTATGACCGCATTGATGTACAGAACGTCCCAAAAATAAATAATTAAATCATTATTTTGCCTATCCGCGATTAAATGATTACTGAATATAAATTCTTCGCTTGAATAGAAAGTTGAATCTAAAATCCCAATAATGAACCAAATATTGAGTTTTTGAAAACCGTCCTTCGTTTTATAGACCTTGTTAGGTACAACTAACTAAATCTGCAGTGGAAACTTTTATCATAAACTACTACAATAATATCGGTCCGACTCTAAAAACAATGTGGTGAAATTGTGCTGTGAGGCTCACGGAAGACTTTACAAAAGCAAAACTACTTTTCAAGTTTACCTACAGTATTGGGTTGAGTCATCTTTTCAATTGAAAAAAAAAATGCGAATATTTTAGAAAATTTCCCGCTGAAACCATCACCTTTTAAAAACAAAGTTAACAAGATAACGTCTTGAATTGGCGTAAAACTATGCAAAAAACTGGATATTGCGACTAACAGAGACTTGTATTTTGCCATTAAAAAAACTGATCCTAGATGGACAATAGAACAAATAGCACAAAATGAACATGAGAAGTAAACAAAATATAAGTGAAAAACGCAGGCGGCAAACAGCATACTTTTACCATGTTCTTGTCACCAATAGTTGTTTTACTCTAGTGAGAATAGTTGCTAGTGGGATAATTGTGTGTCTAAGGTGCGGAGAGTGGGTGTTTCGACTTTTTGCCTATTTTCTTTTGCCTGTACCTCGAATAGTCGCTCAGGGGAATATTGGTGGGCTCGTCTGCGTTTGACCCTTCTTTGGTCAAGCGCTCGATAATTTTTGCACGGAGTTTTTCCTAAAAAGCACACGAAATCATTCGGCATACTTGCACAGTCCATATTTTTTCTCTCGTACTTTTCTGGGATCTTCGTCGTAGAAATCCAACAAAGTTTGGCAAAAAGACCTTCCCATCTGCTCATAATCCTGCGTGGTAAAATGAGTGTCGGTCTTGGCTCCCAACGTTGAACCAGCAAATGATGCCTCCATGGTATAACTGCAGGCAATTCCCATCATCCACATTACGACTCTTCCGGTACCTTCTTTGGCTTTTTGAATACGGAACTTACAGCTTTCAAAGGAAAACTAAAACGGTAAATTCCGCATATAATGAGCAATAAATAACTCATAAAACATGTACCTTGTCGGCAGTATTTTTGTGCAACATTAAAGGAAATACTTGCTCTTGTAGTCTTCTGTCACCTCCTCTCCTATTTTCACAACCGTAAACGAAAATGTTCTGTTTCCTCGAATGTGCGTGCAAATCGCAATATAAGGCTACACCACACTCTTCCAGCAGTCTAAAAATCCCAGGTTTGCCTCACTTTATGGATCACGCAAATTTCCATTTTATGCCTGCTTACCTTCTTACCATAAGCTTCGTATACCAGATTGAAGGATAAGCATCTCTCATCACAGTTCGGTATTGTCTGTTCAAGTCTTTGGCGGATAAAGAGCATCGGTTGTTGCCCACAATAACACCATCCGGATTCAACATGGGCACTATTTTGAAAATGAATTTGTCGCGTAAGTCTTTTGCCGGAGCCGAGTCTCCAGTAAGGAAATCCAGAATTCCTTTCATAATCCACGACGATGGCGTTTCTCCTGGATGAACTCGGGCTGTTAATACAACAGCTCGCTTTTTCTACAGTATGAGTTAAGTTTAACTTAAGACGTTGTACATATAAAGGCAAGTTGAAATTTTATACAAAACTAATTTTGAGGCAAAGCTGTTATGCAAACATGCCTTAAAACACGGTTGCTGTTAGCATACAGTATGGCAAAGTTCAATTATTCATTCTGCTTTCTTGTCGTCTGCATTTACTGATGAATGCTGGCGTTGATAAATGGAGGACATTCCTAATAGGTTTTTCCATTTTTTTACAATTTATAGGCACACTGCTTAAATTGTCATTTCAATGTTCGAACGCCGGTCTGTTTAAGGAAAAGGAAATACTAGCGATATTGAAAGTAAAAACCGTTTTGTCAAAAGCGAAGTGGATAAACATGCCCAACAACTCCTTGTGTTTCAATATACGAATTTCGCAAAAAGCTTAATACAAGACATGAGTTGGGTCTCAGCACCTAAAAAGCGATTAAGTAATGTAAAAAAATTAATATAAAGGTTTTATCGACAGTATTTTTCAAAACATTTTTGTTGTTTCCATATTTTAACTCCGGCTGGTTTAAACTGACGGCGGTTATTGCAAATTTTGAAAAGTTAGTTACAATTTTGGATTACGCTGAACTTACCTTAGTTTCACCTGGAATTTGAGGTGAAGTAATGGTTATAAAATAAACGTCGTTTCCAGCCAATGATCTGCACAATAAGCGCACTGTACTATATGTTTGCTTTACAGGGTGAGCTCGAATTTCCGCCAAGTGTTCCTAAAATTAATTTGGATTATTTGTCATAATTTATATTTGAAATTCGTGCATTTTTTTCTGGCATCACATACATATTTTGTATATTCAAAATGATGGAAAGTACGTTTTCAAAAAGATCTAAGAATTTTCTAAAGCGGTCGAAAAAACGACAAAATGTGAGATGTTTTAAGATTTGAGCATTTTTAGCGCGGTATGTTCCTCATTAGTAGGAACAAACGCCGCTCCTTGAAGCTTTAATATTATTGTTTCGGAGTTTCATGAGGATTAAGAATGTCTTATTAGTCGAATTTTAGAGAGTAACTTTCTCAATTTAATGCTCTTGCAAATGTGCCGCTCTTGAATTTGCAAATGTAATTTAACTATTCCGACTAATCATTTTCGCAAAGTTTCTGCATTCAAGGTCCGCTTTATTTGCTTCTTCTACTTCTAACTTGAACTCTCTTTCACCGATGGAGAAAAGTACATTCTCTTCATTATAATTTTCACATTTAGTATATTAGAACTATTTTCCACTGAAATGCTTTAACTGAGTAAAAGCCTTACCTGAAGATCTGAGTACGTGTATGGATAGCAATGCGCCAAGTAAACTTCGTCATCGTCATGCGGAAAAGTGACCGTAAATGTTAGCGTGTACGTCTGCGGTTGGTCTGGATCTTCGGAAGTTCTGCAAATTAATAACCAACGATTTCACACAAATAATTAAATAGAAGTGTCCTGAGTTTTGGCCTGGTTTTTTGAAGTGTTATAACTTCTTTTTAATGCAAACTTTCTATTGCTAAAATTAATGCAAAATGATATCTTAAAAGTTGAAGATCTCATTAAGTCATTGGTCTAGAATTTTTAAATTTTTGTGGTGGGTGTTTCGCATGACTAAAGCAAACCTCTTACTCATAGGGCAATGACTGAAAAGCACTCACTTGGCACCACCCAATTGGTGTGCGTCCTTTGACTCAAATACTTGCCCAGTCACCTTCCAGCTATTGTGCGTCACACAGCATACTTTAACCGAAAATAAACCACCTTTGTGCCAAGAATTCAACCAACAGGTAGCCAATCAATTGTGTCATTAAGGTCATTTGTCAAATTCTTCGTGTCACATCATCACCTCATCTAACATTCCGCGATAACTTTTCAATGAATCAATCTAAATCAATCACCGATGTTGTTTACACCGCTGCTCACAATGGTGATCTGGATAACCAAACGGTGACATTGGAAAAATCGAAGCCTTTTCCAGAAATTAAGGACAAAATATTTGGCTACTATGTCACCAAACTTGATAATGAAGGTAAAGAAGCTGGAGCGGTCCCGTCCGATGTTAAGGTACTTTACTTGTACAAAGAGAAAGAAATTGGAACGGAATCGGAAGTGGTTTTGGAGTCTGATACCATTGCTTTGCAGACACGGGAAGTGAGAACGGCCAGCATGAATAGCGTTGTCAGAAAACTGATGTGTTGCTTCAGCAGAAACGACGATTAGAACCATTTAAGAACAAAATAATCACTAATAAGGAACCATTTTTTCAATACACCAATTATTTTAGAGACTTGTTTTATTGAGTTAATTGATGATTATCTCTTTTTTTTTGGTTCATTTCCGCTCGAGGCTTTTCATAATAATTAAACTTGGGCATTGTTCAGTTTATCGGCTCTTCAAACCATCAGCAGCTTGCAATTTGCCTGGATAATAGCTGGATTGTTCGCACTTACCTTTAGAAATTCAAAATTAGGCAATTTATGTGGTCTATCGTGAACAAAATTCGATTAATTTTCATTTTGAGTACAAACTGTATAGGTATGTAGGTCAAGTCGTTTTTAGGTGGATAATAGTTTCGATTTTCTGCTGCCCTGGCTTTAAGTTTAAGTGGAATTAAAACAGATGATCGACACATGTTTATAAACGAATTGATAAATTGTTAAAAAATAATTATATTGTTGGAAGCAATAACACCTCATCGGGAAAGCGCGGGGTTTTAAGTGGTTATTTAATTTTTGCACATTAAACACAAGCCAGTTAAGATAAATGTTGCCGATCAAACAGGAGAGTTTTCGGCAAAGCACAAGGAAATTTGGCTTATTCCTGCTGATATTCAATTTGGAAGTTCTAAAGTTTAAAATTTCCAGATAATTGATGTTCACTATACCGGCAGCGTCTCGGCCGCTAATGACTTATCAACACGCGAAAATATCGTAAAAATGTTCGTTTAAGCAATACTGAACTGAGCAACTGTGCTCTTCTTTAGCTTACCCAATTCGGCTTTCGTATTACGTTTCAAATATTATTTAATAATAAAAAAGGAAAGTTTTTCAATCAAATAAACGACTTACACATTGTCGTTGCAAAAGTAGGTAATATTCTGACCACATCTGTTCCATCCAATAGAATGCATTTGCGAGTCCTTTTTTGAATACATTAAGGGGCGCATTCCTTCGTTGTACAGGCTGCTTTCTTTTGAGCAGTTTGTTATCGAAAATCTGCAATAGCAAATGTTCCACAAAATCTTCAATAAAATAAATACTATTTACTAAATATAAACGAGAGAAAAATTACGACGCCTTTAAATATCGGCACATATACGTTCCATCCGTAAAATAATTTATTTAAATATTACTAATATTAAAAAACACAAATTCATGCTAGAATGCAAAGAACTATTCTTAGGACACAATTTCCTTACCTATAAAGAAAGTTTCTCTTCATATTCGTCACTCGAAAATAGAACCATTGCATGTGCCTGTTGGTGTAAAGATCAGCTCTAAGATGCAATTCGTAATAGTTTGGAGTAATTCGGATCGCTCTGGCCAGATTTCCAGACTCAAAACGGGATTCAAAGCGCAAACTGTCATCTTCGGGACAAATGTTTGAGGAGAGGAGGTATCGGCTGCCTCCAACACTCGATCTACTGAACTGAGCATAGAGGAAACCCTCAAGTATTATTTCAACTTAAACTTGCAACTCTTTAATATGAGTAAAAGTGAAGTATGAGTTGAAGATAATTTCAGTGGTGATTTTGATTAGGAAACTTATGGGTGTAGATATATTCTTAAAGCGTTCATTTTGCGCAGGAATAACAGATTAACTTTTCCGGAAAGCTTTTGAAGCTTCTGCTTAGAGTTGCAAAATTTCGAGATTTTTTAAGTTTTTGTTTGTCGCCATTATTTTTTAAGCGTAAAGAATCAGTTGAAAGGATAATCAAAGCATTTTAACCCAAAATTCTGCTTCATCCAATAATCATTTCCCGAGTTACCGGCACGTTTACCTTTAATGGAAAATTAAAAAACCCTGAAATTTGCAACTCTATCGATCATCACCTGCAAGCAGCTCACGACACTACGGTTCCGGTAACTTAAATTAATTTTTTTCTAGCTCAACACCTTCTTGCAAACGTGCATTTTCGCTAAATGAAGAACTTAGTCCTTAAAAAAATAGGCTTTATCACTCACATAATTGACTGCACTGATTGGCGTGTATTGATAAACTATCACTCCAAATTCTTCGCCTGATGGTTTGGGTTGACACTCATTTCCAGTTACTGAGTAATAAGGCTCAGGAGAGGCAGGAACGTAGTTGATATGTTTAATTTTTTCCTCCAATACCTGGAAAATAGAATCCATAAAATAATTAAAAACTATTTAAAAGTAGTATTTTTAAAATTTGAATCAGACTACTGTACTTACTTGGCATTCTGTAGGCCATCTTGGTGGTTGCAAAATAAATGCAGTGTCTCTAGCAGCAGGAAAGAGTTCTTTCAACGGAAACGATTCTTTGATTTTGATGCGCAATTCGTCGTCATCTTCAGTAATTTGGCTTTGGCAGGTCTTAACGAAAAAATTAGAAAAATAACTGTTAGATGCGGTCAATTGGGGTGGAAAAAGGCACGCCTGTAAGTTTCGCACGTTTGTTTCCAAATCTGAAAAAAAAATCGGATTTTTTCAAGCTTTTATTTAAGACTTCTAGTCTAAATAGTGCTCTAAAAATATCCCTCTAAAAATAAGCCCGCCTATTGTTCAATTCACGGCCAGTCTATAGTTTCGTTACTGTAAGAAATTTCGTCGGAATCATGCCAAGTCGGCATCATCGTAAAATTAATTTATTGCATTTGTGGAAATTGCGAATAAATGATAGTGCAAGGACATCGATTTGATTTACCTGCAGGAAATGATAGAATAACCACGCATTTCTGCATCGAAAACGCTGTGCCAAAATATGTGTAAATGACTGACACTTTCAGTGTTTACATTTCTTGCAAAGTTGCTTTTAGCTTAAGGCTTTCTAATTTTAAATTATTTATAAACGAAATATGTTCCAAGTTATTGCTCTGTAGTAAATTACATTTTCGAAAAAAATGGGGTTTTTGTTGAATAATTATGAATAGCAGAGAAACTCAGTAGCAAATTTAAGCCCGGTTTAAAAAAATGTATTATTATTTTTTAAAATTTCTACTGTCTTGCATTAGTTTTCCAGCTGAAAGATTATTTATAATAAAAATGACCTGATTCCTTTCATTTTGATTAAAATATTTATTTTCCATACACTGAAATACATTTTCAATGCGAATTGTCGAACCAGAATTGTCCATTTTGATATATTGAATTGTTTCTGGAAAGCTGTTTGTTATCGTTTTGCGCTCAAGCTTTCAATTGTTGCACAAATTCCGTTTCAATTCCGAACAAATTGCAAGCAAGTACAGTATTTTTTGGTTGTATATTTTATTTGTTAACATGGTTATTTAGTTTGTTAACAAAATTGATGTGTGTGTTTTTTTATTATCAACATTTTCTTTATCATTATTGTTTTTGAAAAATTATGCGAAATTGGAAATTTGGGTCAGTCTTCAAATTTGTTTGTTTTTATATATTCCATCATTTTAAGAGCACTATTTATGATATTTGTATAAATTGAATGAAAACCGCCTTTGTCCAGCTGCCAAAATCCACTTTGCTTCAATGGATAATATCTACGAGCGATTTATTCAAAATAAAGAATTAATCAAAAAAGATGAGTAAACGCGTGTCCATTGCCTTTCAAAGAATTGCGTCATTTTGTTAATTTAATTGTACATTTGTAAATATAGATCCCACGCCAAACACATTAGCTTAATTTTCTAGGCTTAGAATTTGGCTCCGGCTAAATGGAATTTAAATGATTTATTGAATTTCTTGTTTACACCGATTTTTTTCAGTTTTCGGGAGTTTGGTGCAATGCACATTCAAACTTTAATCGATTTACACGTGCAATATTCTAGCTAGTTTGCTGGTTTTCTTCGAAATAACTGCGAAATATTGGCATTTATCAGAAATGCAATTAACAGTTTCTAGGGGTTAGAAAGTTTGGTAAACACGTAGGTATTCAAGTCGAGTGTTGAACTATACTCAAGTTTGGTCAATTATGGATTTTTTAGTCAGAAAGTTTTGAAGGCACCAATAATTTCCGCAGATATATCATGTTTTTGTAGTTATTCATTGCATATCATACACTTCTGTCTTGGTCTTATTCAGTCAATTTTAATGTTGCCCTTTCAAACACAAGAAGTTTTCTTCGGAATAATGACCATTTGTAGTTCGATGCGATTTGATATTATAAATAATTTTAAATCGCTGTCCTTTTCACTTTTTATTTTTTTTTCGTGTACAAATTAGGAGCCGAAGAACAGTCCTAATAAAAACTCAATAACAGTTAAGTTCTTGTGGCCAAAAAATCACTTTTTTCAACCCAGTACTTTATATTATCAAACGATTTCTGTTGCAGTACTTTTGACCCAAAGTATTCAAGTTACAAATATACAGGGTTGCTCATTAGTGCGTCAAAGTGCGATATCTCAGTAAATATGAACTTTACAAGAAAATACGTCCTACGAAAGTTTTTCATGTTTAAAAGGTCCACATTCTAAAATTACTTTCCAATATACGGGGTGTATCATAAACGTGTGGTAGTTACCAACTTTGGTTTTTTAAATGGAACCGCCCCTTTTTTCATTCATTTTCAGATTTGTCGTCAAAATTTAAGTTAAGTTTGTGTCAAACGTTTTACCTGAAAAATTTACGATTTCCGAGTTATTCGTAAAAATGTGAAAGTTTTGACAGCTACTGGGTTCCACAGAAATCGATGCTGTACACTACCCGCTGCGAATTTTGGAAAACAGTTTTCAGCGATTCTAACAGAACATCATGATCTACGCGTAGATATGTTT